CAAACTGCTCCCTCCTGTGATGCAAGAAACTTCTACACATCCTTAGAAAGGAAGCCACCTCCTCCAAGAAGCCCACCCTGAACCTTCCCTCCAAGATTCTGTGCTCTGTAGCACCAGAGCCCACCTCTTCCAGAGTATGACTACTGTGCTTGTGTTTACTTGCTGCCTAGTGGAAGAGGAGACGCTCCAGGGCAGGAGCTTTGTCTCCAGCAGTGTTTGGTTCTGACTGAATTCATTCAAGTGCCAGGATACTTTACATACATAACCTGTTTCATTCTAAGAATCTATGGAAAGAGTGGTTTTTAAAATCACTTTACAAGTGTGAAGATTGCAGTTCAAAAGTAACCTGCCCAGGCCACATATAGAGTGTAAGCTCTGGAATTCAAACCCTGGGCTGCCTGCACAGCTGTGTTCTTGTCACTCTACACACGACTATTTAAAAAAATTTTTTTCCTGAGACCTGTCTTAAAACAAAATGAAGCTAGGATATATCAATTTCTTCATCGCTTTGTCCTACGCCAGGCAACGTCACTCAATAAACCAGGTAACATACGTCGAACGATTAACGATGCTCTAAATTGTACTCAGTGTCTACAAGCATTAACAAAGTGAGTCCTTGCAACCACCATACAGAGTGGGTCCTGTTAAGCCCATGTTACATTCAGAACACTAAGATCTAGAGGCCTTAAGGGGCTCGGCAGGGGTCACCGAGCTGGCAGCAGCCCTTGGCCGCACGCCCCGTCTATTGTACACATACCCGACACTGGGTACCCGTGCCAGCGCGCAGGCTCCCCCTTGCACCGTCTAAAATCCTGCTTCTCGACGCTGACACGAGGGCCCCTGGAAGCGGAAACTACACACCTATTTCGCCGAGCCAAGGCTGGAAGAAGCTCTTGATAGAGATCAGGGGCAGATCTTTATTAATCTTGAGGGTGCTGAGGAGCGGTGCCCAGTCCACCACGCGGAGGCGGTCGGCGTTGAAGTCCAGCACGCCTTCCCGCAGGGAGGCGCGCACGGCGGGCAGCGGCACCGAGTCCTGTAGCGCGCACAGGTACTCATAGTGCGAGAAGAAGTC